ATTTCAATGAGCCCTTTAGTGTCATCTGTGTAGTCTTGGATTATGCTCATTATATCATGGGTTCCGTGAGTGTTCTCTAGGAGGCTTTTGAATTGGTCACTATTCAAGGTAAAAGCAGGAGTTTGGGCGTCTATGAATGTTTTAACGTCTTCATATGCCTCTTGAGAGATATATGACGGCTGACTATTTGTCTTTTGTTTCTTTATTCTTGTGTTTTTGGGTTTTGGAAATATAGGGGAATTTGTGAGGTCTGATGAGGGATCATGTATTGGTGTGGTCGGCGAAATTGCTTCTGAGAAATTTCGTTTGGAGGATGTGCTGGTTTGTGTATCCGTTTGGTTATTACAGGTTAAATCATGTAATGCAACTGTGTTTTGTTGTTCTGTTTGAATGGGTTTGATATGGCTTTGAACCTCTGCTTCTTGTGTGTTGGTTGTATATTGAGATGTTGCTGGTTCATGACTTGATGCTGTGGTTATTTGTTGCTCGTTTACTTGTTGAGTGTTTGCCGTTTCCAGTTGATTGGTAGACTGTGGTGGTGTTTCTATTATGTTTGTTTGCAGTTGGGTAGAAAATGGGCACTGGGAAGCTATATGTCCTTGTCTATTGCATTTGAAACACTTTTGGCTGTCTAATGATAGAAAAATGCGGTAGGTTATGTTATCATGCGTTATTTCTAGTGACTCTGGGAGATTTGCCGAATTTTGGTTGGGTTCAATATATACTTGTCTTCTAAAACTGAGTATATGGCTATACTCAGGCAATGGAGCTCCAATTCTCAAAAAAGTAAGTGGTGAGACTAGTTTCAGGCCAATTTGTAATAATTTTTCATTTATAACTGTGTGTGGGACTGTAGGACTCACATTCGAAATTACTAGTCGATCGGATGGTGTTATTAGTCTGCGTGCTTTTATGATCTCACCATTGAGTTCTATTTGTCCAGGATTTTCTAGAAATTTATCGACTATATGTTTACTTGCTAAGTATATACAAATTCTGTTATTCGAAATTCTAGAACAAAAAAGTATATTTTTAGGGCTGATTATTGGACCAAGTTTGAGTAAGTAGTCCTGCAGTCTAGTTCCATTACTAGAATTAAATATTATTGCTTGATCTTTATTTGGATATCTGAATGTATTTTGAGTCAGTACGTTGGAGTATGATTGAGCTGTTGTGACATTTTGGGATGCATTTTGGTGTTCAACGGATGCCATTATTGAATTTCTATAATCGCTCCAGGTGGCCGTCGTATCATTTCTCGATACGGACCTGACTCCTCGAGACTATTTGTTTTGGAGAGTTTTTACTATGCTGTGCTGTACGAGTCTGCTGTACGGTTTATTATTTATTTCGATTCCTGATATAATTAATCAGATAAAGGTTGAGTATGTACTCACAGTGTGTCCGTATAGGCTTAAACTGTTGCACTGGTGCTGTTGCAGAAAAATTTCGTTTGATATTCACTACTAAATTGTTAAAATTTGTAGAGGTTCCCTGTATAGCTAACAAGGCAATTTCGGTCAGGGCCGAACTCCAAAATGAATTTGTTTCAATCAATGTTGAGGTTGTATATCTTTAAAAAAACATTATGAAAATTACAGTTAAATAATTTTTACTTGATTTGGTCAAAACTGATTGCCTCTGCGCAAATGTTTGTAACAGCCCACAATTTCGAGTCAGGATATTACTGTTTGCTTATACAAGGTATCATCATCTAATAGGCCAATTGCCCAGACTGTGCAGACAGTGATCATTGTGTTAAACTGTGTAGAACAAATGATGGTATTATAAAAGGGGCATTGTGCGGTATAGCTTGTTTCTCACAGCATACTTTATTATGGTAACTACTTTTACATTTATCCTGCCGCCCATTGTTATATTCTTTGTGAGTTCATAAGGTCATCTTGTTGATCATCATAGTCTTGTTGCTTCACTATATTCTATCTTCATGCTGTTTTTTATAAACGGAAATTGGAGCGAAGGGATTTTTGGTGAGTGAAAAAATTTAAAACAATAGAAATAGTCAACTATAGTAACGAAGAACTTTCATGAAAAAACTAGTGCATACACATATCAATGACAATTACAACAAGAATGAGTATATACAGGGAAAACCAACTTTATCACTTGTTAGAAAGAAATAGGAGCCGGCTGAAGAGTGAAGGTCATCACCACATTGCCTAGCAACGGGACGCAGAAGGTCGTGCAATCTGCCGTGTTGCCAATATGTTACACCAGAAAATGTTCGCACAGACTTCTACAATAACTTAGATTACTGCCAAACTCAAGGAGGTATATTCGAACAATTAATTTAATTTTTTTTTACATTTTGATTAGAATTATTTATTTTAATTTTGATACGACTTAGTGCTTTAATTCATTCTAGAATTATCTTTTATTTCGACCGACAGTGATAAAATCAACACATCCTGAATTATTGTTACATTTTGCGACAGGTGAAAACCATTTCGAGACAGAACTACACTTCCCAATGAGCGGTAAATTGATGGGTACCGACCAGAATCGCTATAATCATGGAGGTGAAAACCTTGTCTTGGAATGTACGAGATGCGGTGTTACCAAGCGAAACACTGATGCAATGTTGCAGAATTTGCGGTGATCCTGACTTGTCATTTCGCCTTAAAATGGAGCTCTGTTAGGGCCGATCCGAAATCGATCCTAAACAGATTCGACACAATGCACAAATCAAAAATCTGTACGCTCAAAATACAATCATTATTTGGGCGTAGAGAATGAACTAACGTATATTTTCAACATGCATCTTAATTTAAGGAACTGGGGTAATAATGGGTGATTTTTTTGCTAGTATCTTTTTGGCAACACTGTTTTTGATAGATGACGCGTGAGTCGTGTCTTGTGTCATTGTCAAACTTGTTCAGTTTGGTCTATAATTTAACCATGCATCGACTTACGAACGAACAACGCTTGCAAATTATTGAATTTTACTATCAAAATTCATGCTCGGTTAAGAGAGTGCATCGAGCACTGCTTCCAATTTATGGGCAATTTGGTCGGCCTACTGAGGGAGCTATTCGGAAGCTTGTGACTAAATTTCGAACCCAGTTTACATTATTTGACATTAAACCACCAACACGCAGACGCAGAGTGAGGACTGAAGAAAATATTGCGGCTGTATCCGCCAGTTTTAGTGATGACCGTGAAGTGTCGATTCGCCGCCGTTCGCTGCAATTGGGCCTCTGTTACTCCACTAAGTAGAAAATTTTGCAACAGGATTTGGATGTAAAACCTTATACGATACAGCTGGTGCAACAATTGAAGCCACACGACCTCCCACAACGTTTCGCATTTGGTGAATGGGCGCTGGAAAAGTTGGAGGAAGATCCACATTTTTATCGAAAAATTGTGTTCAGCGACGAAGCTCATTTCTGGTTGAATGGGTACGCTAACAAGCAAAATTGCCGCATCTGGAGTGAAAACCAGCCAGAAGCATTGCAAGAGCTACCAATGCATCCCGAAAAAATGACTGTTTGGTGTGGATTATGGGCCGTACTTCTTCAAAGACGACAATGGCCGGAACGTAATTGTGAATGGCGTGCGCTACCGTGCGATGATAACAAACTTTTTTTTGCCCAAAATGGAAGAGCTGGACTTGGCTGACATGTGGTTTCAACAAGACGGTGCCACATGCCACACCGCACACGAAACAATGGCCCTCTTGAGAGGCGGGTTCGGTGAACAGTTTATCTCACGTTTGGGGCCCGTCAATTGGCCGCCTAGATCGTGTGATTTAACGCCGTTGGACTATTTCTTGTGGGGCCATGTTAAGGCTAATGTCTACAGGGATAAACCAGCAACGATTGACGCACTGGAAGCCAATGTTGAAGCATTTATTCGTGAGATACCGGCCGATATGTTGGAGAGTGTGCCAAAATCGGACCTTGCGCATGGGCCATCTAAAGGGGAGCCGTGGCCAACATTTACATGAAATAATCTTTAAACATTAAATTATATCGACCGTTCTATCGACTCAAATAAAGATTTAATCGTTTTTTAAAATTTTTTGTGTTTTTTTTTTGAAAATCAAATCCTATACCTCTTAAAAAATCACCCGTTATATTGGCAATGCGGCAGATTGCCGCGCCAGCGTTGCTAGGTGACGCGGTGATGAGCTTCGCCATCCAACCGCCTTCTAGCTCTTTCCAACATATGTGTCTATATACACTTCTCTCTCGTACACATTGACCTCAAACCGTCAGATAAATTTGGTGCTCAGTGTATATTGTAACACAGACATCATATTAAAATAATAACAAGAAGAACGGTGAAAGCGAATATACAAACGTGATCGACATATCAAATGTAATAAATACAGATTAAAACTGAAAGTTTCAATAGATCTTTCACTAAAATCCGTCTTAAATTACTTAAAATATGTGATCTAGGATCTAGATAACACAAACATTTCCACAGTGCATCTTAAAATCATCAAAGCTGTATGGTGGTCTACGATATAGTGGTCTGCAAACCTTGGTTTGACCTTCCTCTCGAAAAACTCGAACGGCAGACCGCTAACACTCTCAGAAAATATGTAACAATATTTAACTCCAAGAGTTTTAGCTACCTTGATTCTATTTTGTTTTTCCTTCGTGTATTGTAGCCGTGAATATTGAATAGAGTGCAGTAATCACAAGTGTTTCCAAACACGCATCAAATTCTGATATAAAAAGTAGGTAAAGTATTGGTATTTTAAGTGCAGTGGTAGATACCCAGAAAGAGGATTTCATCATGACGTTTTGTTGGAGTTTTTTGGCATTGAATCACTAAGGAATCGTCGTGACGCTCAAGCTCTCACTTTGCTTTATAAGTTAATGAATAATAATATTGATTGTAGGTTCCTACTGAGTAAGATTAATTTTCATGCTCCCAGATTAGTTGGTCGGCATAATCACATATTTTACTCTGATACACCACGGACGAATATTTTATGCAGATCCCCAGTAATGGTAATGTGTACCTTATTCAATTCAATCTGTAACAGAGCTGATGTATGTCATGACAGTATTGATAAAATATTAAAGATTTACAGGGAGCAATTGAGATAAAATCGTTTTGTTGATGGTGTCAGTTATTGTTAACATATTCTTCAATTGGAGCACTTTTATGTTTTTCTTTCTTCTCTTTTTTTGTGGAAGTGTTTAATTGTTCAAACACCTATGAATTATGTGTTCATTCAGATCACTACTGTTTTTCTATTTTCTTTTTTTTGTTATTATTTTCCGATTCATTGTCTATATATATGTATGTGTGTATTTATATATGTGTATATACACCTTAGGAAAAACGATTGTTATACATGGGAAATCATTTCTTGGCAACAGCGCATCGGCTCGTCTACTTTCATCGCTATTCGTACATATTTCCTACCGTTAACCGCAGACCTGTATCACGAATGAGAATAATAGGCAGATACGCTGTGTTGCCAATTTGAGTAGAGCTTCCCGAATTGTGGGGAATTTAGAGTTAAGTGTTGATTCATTCAAGCTTTTAATCAGCATGGCCTAGACGTTAGAACTTCATAAAGATAACATTGAAGCTGAATGCTGCTGGATTATAGTGTTTCGAATATTCAAAGCGGAGCGGGACACTATACTCGTTCAATGAGTCATCAAGCCACAGTCTTTTCAACAAAGAAATTATTTTACGAAAATGCGTTATATTTTTACGATTTTGTCGTCACCAAATCTCTTTTTCTCAAAATGTACGTCTATTGTAGAATTTTCAGCAAACTAAGCAAGAAACGTGATCTAGTATTTACTCAATATTACGGATTTCTCGAAATACATTAAAAAATGTGACCTAGATACCTAACTGCCCCAAGCTCTTTAAATATAACACCTTAAACCAGGGTTACCAGGTGCTCAGTCACGTTGATTGTCATGTTGTACTGCGCAAGTCAGCAAACAATCTGGCGTAATAAACGTTAGGAATCATCAGGTATTGCCAGATTCCCGAATACCGGGCACCATAGTAACCGTTATAGTTGTCCTTCAAAGTTGTCAAATCGCCCCTATGGCGCAAATTCGCCACACCAGGCAACTGTGCTATAAACAAACCCTGTTTATCACTACTATTTGATAGTCATATGGTAGTTGTAGCCCTATCTAGCGGTCCATGATTTCTCTCAATACTGTTGTATCTCTACTGGCAACAAGAATAGGGATTACAAAATCATTTATACAACAATATACAAACATGAAAAATATGATTTGAACCATGAAACATTAATACAATTTTAATAGTTTGAACTTTTTTCATTTTTGGAATACTCTTATGTGGAATCCGCAGCTATTTTTCCCGAAATTTGGGTAGACTTAGATTTCTTAGAAATATGACATATTGGTATCGGCAACTCTGCGAAACAAATCGCATTTGTTGAGCGCATCCGTCTAAGCGGTAGGCGCCAGCGCCCGTTCTGCCATCTCTCTCTTTTATCACTCTTCTACTTTACCCCGTTGTCCGTCACACTCCGACGCTGCCAGATAGGATCCTACAATCGAGTGTCTTTCACGCACCTACATACTTTTGTATATTTCCATCTCTCTTCCTCATCATAATGTATAATAATGGTTTTTCCCAAGGTGTATGTGTGTGTATACATTTGTATATATGGTACCATTATGTTTTGATTACACTAATTTCCTGTGATTGGGTGTATACCTGTTGGAAATAAATATATTATTATTATTATTATTATAATGTAGCTGCAAATATTGTTGCTATTTTCAGACTTCCAAAGCATACATTTTGAAGCTGAATAGAATCTGTTTGCTTTCTGTCTCTGTGACCCCATCCGAATACAACGTCGTTTCATGCTTTCTAGCACACTTTAGTGTCTGAGATGCACTCGTGTCGTTCAGTTTTTGATGAGCGAGGTTTGAATGGACAAAAATGAGAGGCGGAAGCCTGGCTAGTTTAGCTGGCAGGCCTAACACGCATTGGCATCAATGAAAAACGCTCATACGAGCAAAGTGCGCTGGCATATCGGTAGAAGTGAGCCATATCTCTGGCCGCTCATCGGTGTGGGAAAAGATTTAAATCATCTGAATGCCTGCATGCAGATTGTCGTTTTTAAGCAATGAATTTTCCCATCTCTTGGACTTTTCAGACTCAGCATTGGAGAAAAGTTAATGAAGACTTTTCCGTTCAGAATGATCCAAACAAAATTAAAACTTCTGAGGTCGCCAAGGATCTAAATGAAAGTTAAAACCTTGCTCTATAAGACCTTGACTAATATTTAAAAATTGCCTCATTTTAAATCGATTTCAGCCTTGTTGTTGAGGCCACAATTTTGGTTTCCGCAGACTATACATACAAGAATAAGAAAAGAGTTTCCATAAACTGAGCTTCCAAAATGTGCCATTAACAAGTTTCAGTGTGTACCACTGACGAGACTGACAAGACATCCACATTGCTAAAGTAACACTATGATGGGATAGGATTCCTGTCCTTATAATCTGCGAACAATTTTTGACGTTAAACTTCACCTTGAAAGTAGAAAGAAATACATTTTTTACCTATTTTATCTGAAATCCTAAATCTATTTTTCTACAAATTTTATTTTTTTTATTGGGACCATTTCCCAATGCCTACGACAATTTTTATACATATGTTCTGGCTGGCTGTTAGTATCACGCGTACAAAACTTCAAGTCAATATACTTTTTTTTTTTTTTTTTTTTTTTTATACTTCAACTACCACGAAGGCCTAAGGCCTAAGCACCCATTGGGTACCGTGGGGCTATAGGGGGATACATGGGAAAGGGGGAACGCCACACGGACCCTGGCGAGGGAACACGTGTGCATGCAACATGCACACATTCTGGCTCCGCCTACGAGATCCGCCGGGTGGTACCTCCACGTTCGACAGTCAGAGACCGTCTACCACCTACGCACTTCGAAGATATAACTAAGTTTTCATGTTATTTATGTATCTAACTCCTACCCAGGAACATTGTCATGCTTTTCTGAATCACCCTGTATACCATCACGATGGGTGAGGAGACTTGCGCCCTCCCAAAGTATGATCTGTTGCCTTTTTGAACTCATCTGTTAGCAAACAGCCAACAGCCGGAAAATCCACTTTGCTCTACACAGGACGTCCTAACCGCCAGTCGCTTCTTTAGTTTTAATTAACTTCTAATTCTAATTAGAACCGGCTGGCCGTAGGCGCATAATTTAAGCCAGGGGAGAGAAAGACTAGAAGAATACAGTGGCGGATCTTGAAGGGCGATAATGACCAAATATTTTTACTGATTTGCATCTATACATAGTGTACATACATTTTTTTAAGCACGAACTGCTTTGTAATGGCGAGGGTATTGGTAATAAGAATACTAGAGGAGCTTGAATAATTTGAAATTTTAATGACTTCTCTTCCTCACCACATAACACAAATTACATCCAATCATAACTCTAACGTGACGTAACTGTAACATGACATAAGGTTAACAAAATCGTCACCACCGGCCAATGACAACTGTTAAAAAAAATGTCAAATATTTTTCTCGACACATCATTCCGCGTACCCTGGACAAGTCACCTTGGGAAAAGTACTTCTGACCACTAACAAACAGCCTAGGTTTTGCCCAGCAGCTACAGATCCTATCGACATGTGCTTATGCCAGATCAACTCCTCGGACCCGACCAGCCAAAATCGCTGCTAGTATTATTTTTCCAGCTCACTGGCAGAGATCGGCTTGTCCTCTGGATTGGCATGTAGAGTGGTATCACAACAATGTCGGAGCCAAGGCCGGATTTAGGATTTCGTTTACAGTATATTCAGATAAGAGATAGACCGGATGTAAACAAAAGGTTCGGGTGATTTTCACGCTAACGCCGCCGTCTCGACGTAAAACAGGAGCCCTCATTGGTCAATTCGCAATTAAATGCCTATGCCGAGCGGCAGAGCAGTCGTATCAAGGCAGAGTCACATTCAGGTTCAGACGTGTTACGTATGTCGTGTGCATCATTGCAATTTGATATTTCTTTGGACGTTTTCGTTTGTTATCTTATTAAGTTGTTGAGTTTGTCGTTGTTATTGTTATACCTTGTTATCGATTGTTATTGTTATCAACTGCTTGCGCAAAATGCCCAGTAGTACAGATACTGCCGATGAAGTTGTAAACTCCTGTAGTCCACCTAGGAAACGCTCTAAAAAAAGACACCTGAGTGCAGAAATGAAAGAGGTCATTTTGAATATATATAAGATCGAGCGCGAGGAGAACGAGGCATCAACCATCAAAGAAATTGTTGTGAAGGTTTCTCACAAAGTTGGGGTGTGTCGCGCATCAGTGTTTAATGTGTTAAGATAATACAAAAAAAATCACACCTTTTCTGAGCCAATGACCAGTAAACATCGCAAAAGTATTGTTAAATCATTGGATGAAGCTGATAAGCATGCGATTAGGAGGAAAGTGCATGAACTCTTCTTTAGGAATGAAATACCTACTATAGATAAGTACTGCAGGAGGTAAATGGAGATACAACGTTGCCAAATTTCAAACGATCAACTTTCCGTGCATTACTGAAGCATTTAAATTTCAAATGGAAAAAACGGGGTCGTAATAGTTTACTACTGGATAGAGAAGAAATTGTGCTATGGAGGAGGGATTATTTAACAAAAATTGGGAAATATAGAAATCAAAACAGGAAGATGTATTACCTTGATGAAACGTGGGTAAACGCAGGACACACTACAAGTAAAGTATGGGTTGATGATTCTGTAACTTCATCCAGGAGGGCCTTTCTAGATGGACTGTCCACCGGATTAAAAAATCCAGCAGGTAAATACGAGTAATAGACAACAGTCGGATGTTTTTCAAACCTTGGGAACAAGGTTCTAAACATTCCAGGGGGCCAGATAAAACATATTACAAGTAACAAAACTTTTATAACTTTCGATAAAATGCGTGGATGTTTTATTGTCATTTTCATTTGTTAGAACTTTTTTAAGCCATGTTTTTATGTGTTTTCGATATTTCAATAATTTTTTAATATAATCTTAAAATATGTCGAATATTATAAACTTAAAAAAAGTTACTAAGTTTTATATTATGTACCGTTCCTAATATTTCTAATCATTTTAATTCATACTTTAAGCTTTATAAAGTTATAATTTATTAATATTAATATTTGCGCGTATTTCAGGTTCCTGATCATTCATTTCTTAAAGGTTTATAACTTTAAATTAAATTGTGAAGCGCTGAGTAATCATACGACGTTCAATATTCTTTCTTTCAATATGACTAAATAATCCCAATTATAGCAATCTGATACTCATGTCTCAATGTTTTTTCGCTGAATGTGATGAAAACATTTGAAAAAGGTTCGCTTATTGAAATAAATCTACCAGTTAGTACTTCGATTTCCAGG